TGTCCTCCATGACCCCGTAAAAATTCCAATTCTTGAGCCCTTATTCATGAAAATATCCAAATTTCTAAATTATTGATCCTTTCAGTGCCTCTGTCTGACTGAGACTCTCGCAACACACTGGGCTTCACAGCGTGTTCTCCTGCACCCTGGTCTTTGGAGACAGGTAATGAAGGTCTCCTGCTCCTGTCCATTCACACAAATGTCCAAATTGCCACACAGTCCAGTTTTTCATTATTTTTAAAGTTGAGTTACGGTGTACTTTTGTTACAGCCAGCGTTGCATTTGGGTGAAAAAGAGCAGATGAAAAATGACATTTAATCGGCCGCTTTTTGGCATATTTATTGGAGAACTGGCTCCGAGAACTACGGCAAGCTCAAGTGAACAAAAATATATAAATTGACACACACCTGCCTTCTGTAACCTGTAACCTGTAGCACCTCCCTGTGACATACAACTGAGGACATGATTAACATACTTTAACAGTTTCTCTGCTTGGCCGCATCAATGCACCTTGAGTCAAGTGCATGGTGCCACGCGCCTCCATCTGCAGTGACAGGTAACTCCCGTCTAACCTGTTAGGTATCCTCAAAAAACCGTTCAGCGTGTTCTCTTAAAAATAACCACTGGAATCGATCGATTAAAAACAAAAAGAATTAATTCCCTATACAATACAATTCTAATACAGAGCTCTGGGTCAGATTGTTGTCCCTAACTGCCTATGGCTACAGAGGTCTTAAGATCAGGCAATCTGACTGCCTCTGAACTAACTTAACCCAGGTTTTATAGACATTCATATGAATATGCAAATAATATGTTGGACAGGTAACGCCTTGAATCTTCCTTGGAATATCTCTGCATTCCTTTAGGTTGAGGGAGTTGACAGCAGCCCAATGTAAATCACCAGTTTGTTTAGTTTCACACCAGGCCGAACCATCTCCACTGCTGCTGCTTTACAATGAAATTCCTTAAAAGGACACAACCTATATCTGCAAAGAATTACCTCAAAAGCAAACATGTTTCACACAGTGGTAGCTTTAAACATACATAAGATTTCAGTGGTTAAACAACTCAATGTGCAATAGTCAAACAAATATATAAATTCAATGTTTAATATGCACATGTGATGCACTAAAGAAACTTCAGCACTTGGTACAGCCTTCAAACCTGTTCAGGACCTTTACACACAGTGATGCACCTTCAACAGCAGGATAAGATAAAAGCATTCTACATATAAGTTTAACTCCAAGTTTGCTTTCTCTACCGTTCTCTTGGCATTGTGCCAAGTCATCTAAACTCCACAAAGTGAACTGCGTAAAGCGGAGTCCCAGCCGTCAACACTCGGGTCGTGCATGTTGTTGTTCAGTTGTAGGGAGTATTATCTGTTCCATAAGGGTGAGTTGTTTGTGGAACAGTTGAACATATGACAGGGGACGCTGTTTAAATCCAGGCTCAAAACATTTCTGTTTAACCATAACTGAAAGGTGAGTTGTTGTACATGTTTGTAGGGATGTATTATTCTGTTCATAAGGGTGACTCGTTGCCTTGTTGTACAGTTGTAGGGAGTATTATCTGTTCCATAAGGGTGAGTTGTTGTACAGTTGTAGGGAGTATTATCTGTCCCTCTGGTGCAGTGGGGGAGCAGGAGTGTTCATGTTGGAGAGCAGTTTGTTCAGTGTCCTCGTGTCCCTCATTGTGACAAATAAATTAAATATAAAACATGTTCTAGTGTTATTTGGGGCAAATACAATATTTTCAAAACAATCAAAGGTAAAATGTGATCATAGTATGTTTGATGTGAAGTGATGGGCACATTATTTTGAAAAAGTAAGTATTTCTCCCAAAAAGTAAGTGAGTTAGTAACAGAGTTACTCCACTATAAAAGTAACTAGTTACTAGGGAAAGTAACTATTGCATTACTTTTTTTTTTTAAAGGCACTCACAGCTGCACGAACGAACAAACTGGGCCACGGCCGATGACATCATCACACGGCGCTGTTTGTTTACATGTCACACAGCAGAGCAAATGCTTTAGTGGAGAAATAAGTCCAGCAGTAGAGAGAGCGATATGAGTCCTGTTGTGATACGAGCTCCGCCGTGAGTTTATGGTGACTTTATGAAGATAGTAACAGCACGGAGGAGTGAGGACAGCCGCAGCATTTCTGTCTCTGTCTCAGTCCTTATTGAAGGTAAGAGTGGATTTGTCGCATGTTTTTCAGCTGATTTTATTCACCGTTTTCCTCGTATGAATAACATTGGCGTACACACAGAGCTTGTATAGTATATGTATATATATGCTGCGTTTGTGTGAGTCGTGGTGTGAGCCAAGTCTGATGACAGCTTCAGTGAGCAGCTTCATTCACGGCATGTTGGTAACGACGTGGTAATGATAGAAAAAGTAATTAGTTACTCATTACTGAAAAAAGTAATGTTTTATTTTAACACTGTTATTCCCATCACTGTATATGTTACTGAAGTCAGATAGCACTTTCTTAAGACTGAAGACACAATGAACCTTCAGCAAACATGTTGACTTAAGTTACATCACACACTCATGTCATCTGTAAATATCAGGTTATTAGACACAGCTACATCCTTTTGTTGGTTGTAACACACCCAAATAGAAAAAGTGATGTTCCTGAATGTGAACAACCAAAACAGGTTCATCTCTGTCCTGTCAGTGGAACTTCTTTAGTATTGAATCCTGTTCAAATGAGTATCTAGTGTTGATACTAGTTTAAGTATCGATTGGTATCTGATTTTGGACACTTCTGACAGCTCTGTATAGCACTCTGCTCTAGTTAAAGTTCTGTGCTTGTTCCACTGCTGCTGTTGTTGTTTTTTGTTTGTTTGTTTGTTTTATTTTACAGAAAAGAACAAGAATTTCTTTGGTTTAATGGACCTAAATCTGATCTATGTTCTAATGTGATTTCCTCATCACAAACAGTTGTTTCATTCACACATGTTTAACACATAAATCCTGCACATTTAGGCTGAGATCTTCTCTCAAACAGAAAACACTCTGGTCCACCTTGTGATGTCATGTGGTGATACAGTAAGAACGTTTTTATTTATATAGTGTTTTTCACAGACGTATGTCACAAAGATGTTTTTACAGTTCATTCTTCATTCACTCCACACTCGGTGGTGTAGCCACAGCTGCCCTGGGACAGACTGACGGAAGCGCCCTTAGCCCCTCTGACCACCATCACTCACACACACCACTTTCATACTAGGCAATGTAGGTGAAGTGTCTTGCCTAAGGACACAACAACAGTTTTTGTGACTGGCGCCTCCTGTGGCTCCTGGGTTTCCCAGAGTCTCCATCAAGTACTGACCAGACTCTGAGCTTCTGAGATCTGACGGGATCAGGCTTTGACAAACTGATATGGACACAAATAAAGGAAGTGCTCCACTATGTTTTTAAACTCCATACACCTTCACTAGAATCGTTTGGATGAGTTTGGCTCAGAATCTACTGAACTAAAGGTAAACAAGGTAAACACAACTCCAGGTATGTTTTTGATGAGGCAACAACGTTCTACACTGACTGGAAGTTCACACGAGTCCATTGTGTGTGGTGTAGGACGCACATGTTGACAATTGCAGTCTGCATTAGCAATGCTTCAATAGACCACTAGATGGCAGAATGTGAATAAAGCAGTCACAGTGTGGACCGAACACATGTGCAGAGATCAGTGACCTATGACCTCCCTCAAAATCCCAGATTAACACAGCATTTTAGAATGACCTTTCAATGTGTCCTTAAAGCTCCTACATCACACAGTCTGACTCCTGTCAACCTGTTTTGTTGTTGTCGTTGTTGTCGTTGCTGTCGTCGTCCTAGTTGTCGTCATTGTCGTCGTTGTTATCGTCGTCGTCGTTGTTATCATCGTCGTCGTCGTTGTTGTTATCGTCGTCGTTGTCGTCGTCATTGTAGTCGTTGTCGTAGACGGCGTTGTCGTTATTGTTGTTGTCGTTGTCATCGTTGTTATCGTCGTCGTCGTCATTGTCGCCATTGTCATTGTTGTGATCGTCATTGTCGTCGTTGTTGTTGTCGTCGAGGGCGTTGTTGTTGTTGTTATCGTTGTTGTCGTCGTTGTCACGGTTGTTTTTGTTGTTGTCTCCTCAAAAACAGACCTGGAGTTGTGTTTTGTGTCATTCACACATAATGTATTTGAGTAACTTTATTATTAGTCTGTGTTCTTGAGCTTGGAGCCCTGATGAAGAGCTCATGATGAAGCACATATAAAGAGCTTTTACTTTGCCATCAGTGACTTAGACACTGTTCCTTGTGACAAACACTGTGCTACAACAGTAAGAATATTTTAATCTACGTATTTGTGCGTTTTCTTTCAGATGACCACACAGATGTTATTCCACATGTAAACTGGACCAAACAACCAGAGCCTTAATATCACCTGCCCCGTCCTCTTCAATGAACATCAGACAAAGTGTTTCTCAGCCTAAATGTGCAGGGTTTGTGTGTTAAACATGTGTGAATGAAACAAAACACAACTGAGGAAACTCCATTAGAACATAGATCACAAGATAGTGTCATATGGGCCCTTTAAACAGCAAACTCCACTGTAGAATTTGGACCTGTCCTCCACCTGTCTGTTGCGAAGCTCCACCCCTGACAGTTCATCCCAGCTCCAGGCCCCACCCCTTCTGCAGACGGTGTGAGACGCAGAGCAGAAACAACATCCCGAGAGGAGTCATGTGGTGCAGCAAAAGTCAGATTTTTGTCGGTTTCGCTGCGGCTTTTTGTCTGATGGGGTGAGTCTGTAATAAACTTAAAGCTATATATTATATAAACTTAAAGGTATTTATTATATCAACTTAAAGCTATATATTATATAAACTTAAAGCTATATAGTATATCAACTTAAAGCTATACATTATATTACACAAAATGGATTTTTGTGAGCTTTAAGCCATGTACTTTGTACCATGTTGTACTTGTTGTTACCTGTTATAGACCTGGAGTTGTGTTTTGATTCATTCACACATGACTGAATAACTCTTTGTTAGTCTGACTGCATCTCCAAAGCTGTAAATGCTCTGTGACATGTTGTGATGTCATAAACTGGTAGTATTCTAGTTAATAACTACACCCTAAAAAATGTTGTGTTATTGTAGTAATGTTGTACTTTGATTCTTTGCCCCATCCTCCACCTGCTCTAAGAGAAATGTCTTTAAAAACACGTTTTATGTTTTTATTTTATGACTAAGATTTAAGTTAATTTATAACTTTCCACAACTGAAACTTTTTGTCAATTCTAAGTTTTACATGAACATGTCAATAACTCGTTTTTAGTTTGTGGTCTCTTGTGGCTTGACCTAACGTTAGTTAAGATCAGAGCACATGACTCGAACCTCTTATCTGTAAATTCTGGTCTGACCATTTCCTTTAAACGTCCTGTGATACGATTTCTCAGACACAGCAGCAAAAAACTGGAACATGCTTCAGCTGAACTGAAAACTTGTTTTAAATCCCACACTTTATCTCATGGGCTAGAACAACGGCTTCTGAGCAGCAGGCGTGTCAGCAATTGGCTTAAACATCAACTGTTTCAACATCCTGACTGATTGCACTGGACATGTATTGTGTAGATGTAAATGTGTTGTGTAGATGTAACTGTGTTGTGTAGATGTAAATGTGTTGTGTAGATGTAAATGTGTTGTGTAGATGTAAATGTGTTGTGTAGATGTAAATGTGTTGTGTAGATGTAAATGTGTTGTGTAGATGTAAATGTGTTGTGTAGATGTAAATGTGTTGTGTAGATGTAAATGTGTTGTGTAGATGTAAATGTGTTGTGTTTGCTCATGACATTTATCTTGACTTGTTGTTGATGATTTGTATTTTACTTTATAATTATACTGGTGAATTTGGTAAATGTACATTTTAGAGGATACTGATGACATTATTTTAGAAGATAATGATGAATCTGAAATCTTGTATTTATAGAAATTAGAATGAATGAATGTTGATTGTTTAATATGTTTCATGTTGAACTGTATGTATATGTAATGTAATGTGTGTATATATATATATATATATATATATATATATATATATATATATATATATATATATATATGTGTGTGTGTGTGTGTGTGTGTATGTATGTGTGTGTGTGTGTGTATATATATATATATATATATATATATATATATATATATATATATATATATATAATTTATAAATTTCTCACCTTCCACGGTGGTAGGTCTCTCACCCTCATTCAGCTCGGGTCCTCTTCCAGAGGTCTGGGAGCTTGAGAGTTCTGCGCAGTATCTTTGCTGTTCCCAGTACTGCACTTTTCTGGACTGAGATGTCCGTTGTTTTTCCTGGTATCTGTTGTAGCCACTCTTCCAGTTTGGGGGTGACAGCCCCGAGTGTCCGATCACCACAGGCACCACTGATGCCTTCACTTTCCAGGTTCTCTCCAGCTCCTCCTTGAGCCCCTGCACCTCTTCCTCTGGACCCCACTGTCTGAGACATTCTCTGAGCTCCTCATCTGTCAGGGCCTTGTCCTTGATGTTCTCAAGGAGCTTGGATGTTTCATCCTGGACAGTGGTTCTCACACTCACTAGTCCTCGGCCTCCTTCCTTCCGGCTTGTGTACAGTCTCAGGGTGCTGGATTTGGGATGGAATCCTCCATGCGTCGTCAGGAGCTTTCGTGTCTTAACACCTGTGGTCTGTATATCCTCCTTTGGCCAGTGCATGATTCCTGCAGGGTATCTGATCACTGGCAGGGTGTAGCTGTTGATTGCCTGCGCCTTGTTCTTGCCATTGAGGTGGCTTCTTAGGACTTGTCACACTCTTGGTATGTGCCACATTTGATTGACACTTGTGCAATTGGCTTCAAGGATGGTTTTCCACAACCGTATCAAGTTTGCAATCAGAGTTGGCACCAGAGCACATCAACTGGAGGGAAATATTTTAATGGGGTGGAGTCATACAAATTAGAAATGCTATCAAACACATTTTTCTTTAAGAGTATTAGGCTTATGTGTTGTTGTTGTTATTATTATCATTATTGTTAACATTATTATTAGCTGCAATAGTTGTTGAGGCTGTGTGGTAGACGATACGCACACAAGACAATAATAAAAGGTTGAAATTATTATTATTTTTTTTAAACAATAAGGCCTGCCACTGCTTGTAAACATTAAACAACAGCCTCTTGTCAAAAAACACCCCTGAACAACATCACTGAAAGAAGCAAGAACGAGCCACACATCAGATAGCACCAGGGCTGTAGTGTATGGAGTAAGAAAGCTGTCAAAAATATTCGTGCGCGTAAAATAGAAATCCGTGCATATTTGGCTGTAGTTGCGCATAAAATAAATATTTGTAAACTCTCAAATGAGTCCAGTCGTACATCAAATATATTGTGTGTATTTTATCCATCAGAATACGAATTGAAAAATTAAGACGTCATGAATTACAATCACGAAATGAAAATTTACGATTACGCTTTCATCAGTACGAATACGAATTCACAGACGGAACTTTACTGTCAAAAATCCGTCATCACTTCATAGACATTATTCATCGAGCAGAAGAAACATCGATCAAGATCAAGACTGTGCAGCTCAAGTTTGTATCAGAGTAAAAACAGAGTAATAGCACAAGAAGCTACAACAGCGACCAACAAGTGGGTTCATTAAAATCTATTGTAAAAATGTCTTGAATTCGGGAACCGAACGCTGCTGTATAATATTGTGTAGAAACACCTCCTCTGAACGGGAAATTTCACCTATATGTTAGAAAACATAGTGGAGCCAGTTGGCAACATCCAACGTAATTTTATCCCAGGGATCATTAGCAAATATCAGGTTCTCTGTATGTTTAGATTAAAACATTCACGGCTACAGCCACAGCGAGCATCAGTCAGTCTTAACCTTCATCTCAGCTGCATTTCAGACAATGGGTTATACGTGAGTTATAATGGGTTATACTTAGCAAATCCATCCACGTCACGGTGACGTTATACTTACCGGTAAATACTGTAAACATACCAAGGTGTTGCCTGTAAACACGAACATTAATTGTTGCTGGAAGCTGCATTAAACTGTAATGTGTAACATTTCATTAGCTGTGATGTCTGTAACCAGGACAGTTTGGTCGTGTTTGGTGTAAACTGGGACATTTCAGCGTCCTGAGGAACGTTTGGTGGCATTTCATGCAAGAAATGCAGCTTGTTGCAGCAGATGTGCACGGGGCCCAGTCCTGCCACAGACCAACAGCCTCTCCTGAGTCTCCTCTCTCCATGTCCCCCAGAGCGTCTGACCTCTGAGGATTTATACACAAATACCACTTACATATCAAAGCAGAGTGACTTTAGTTTCACAGACTTGAGGACAGGTCAGACCACAGAGGCTTTTCCTGACGCTCGTGTCTGCTGAGCCTTTACACCTGCTGATGATGCTCTGGTCTTGGGTTTTACAAAAGACAGATTGAAAGAAATCTTTCCACAATATACATTTTATATAAATATAAATTTTATGTATTTTATTATGGCTTCTCCATATTACTCTTATCATATTCATATTAAAACGATTACCACCGATAAATCAGAGCGGTGTCAGAACGAGGCCTTTCCTGATCTGTACACCAGGCTCCCCCTGGACTCTGCTGTGACGCTGCAGGACATAGAGGAGGGACACTTTTGGCTTTTTTCACAGGATCTGCTGACCCTCCCTGACCACTGCTCCTGTTAAACTGCACTGAGACATTTGACCTTTGAGACACAAAGGACACTGAGACACTCACTGGAAATGTTTACTGCAGCAGAAGTGCAACAGTTTAATGCAGCAAAACTTGAATTATCCTCAGGATTAATAAAGTATCTCTTTCTCTCTAAAACTGACCTCTCCATGGAGAGGGCTCTGAAGTATGGTTTGAACATTCTGGTTCCATAAAATCAGGCAGGAAATATCCTACCTCCAGAAAGGTACATACTGTAGCTTTAATATAAACATTTATATTTCCAAAGAAACTATCGTCAAAGCATCAGTGATGGGAAAAACGTTTAAAACAGTGTGACATCTCATTGGGATGATGTATGATTAACCCGGACTTTCTTGTAAAACAGACCACTGCCTTTTTATGACACTTAACAAGCAAATAACTCTCAACTTAAACACTAGAGCCTATATATTATGTATATTATGTTATATATTACCTATCCTAAACCAAGTTTCATGAGCTTTAAGTCATGGTAGAATTCAGTGCTAAACAACATTTCGTTACCTTGTATTTATATATTTGTAATAGCAATACATTTGAATCTAATCTAATCTAATTCATACTTAACTGCGTTTACAAAAGTGAATATTCACCTAAAAACACTGGACTGGTCTATAATGCACAAGCATCCAAGCAGAAGGAGCAGGGCATTCTCAAGGGAACTGTTTCACTGTGCACCAGCCTCCAACCTCCAACCTCCAACCTCCAACCTCCAACCTCCAACCTCCAACAACCTGCAACCTCCAACCTACAACCTCCAACCTACAACCTCCAACCTCCAACCTCCAACCTCCAACCTCCAACCTCCAACCTCCAACCTGCAACCTCCAACCTACAACCTACAACCTACAACCTCCAACCTCCAACCTCCAACCTCCAACCTCCAACCTCCAACCTCCAACCTACAACCTCCAACCTACAACCTCCAACCTCCAACCTCCAACAACCTCCAACCTCCAACCTCCAACCTACAACCTACAACCTCCAACAACCTACAACCTACAACCTACAACCTCCAACCTCCAACCTCCAACCTCCAACCTCCAACCTCCAACCTACAACCTCCAACCTCCAACCTACAACCTCCAACCTACAACCTACAACCTACAACCTACAACCTACAACCGTATCCATGGAGACCGTGCATGGGGCTAGCTCTGGACATAGATACCACAGGCTTTTTGCCCCAAAAATGGCAGAAAATGTGGCAGAAGACCTTCTAGAGGAAATACTGAGGGAATGAACCATTTCATCACCAACACAAACACTAGAGTGGAGTAAGAGTGACGCCTTTTCTGTTGAATTTCATCATTCAGTCATCTGCACTTTAATGTTACAAGTTCATATAGAGAATATATTACAGACAGCCTGTGACGTACACCTCACTGATACGATGTATGATTAACCTGGAAAGATCCGCCGCCTTTTTATGAGTGTCCACATTTTAACAAGCAAAACACTCTGGACTCAAACACTAGAGTCAGTGTTAAAGAGCCTATATGTATGTCACATTTACCTCCTCAAAAACACACCTGGAGTTGTGTTTTGTTTCATTCACACATGTTTGAGCAACACTTTATTATTAGTCTGTCTACATCTCCAAAGCTCCAAATGCTCTGTTCCACCTTGTGATGTCATGTAGTGGTAGTTTTCAAGTGAACAGCTTCTTTTACCTTTAGTTCAGTAGAGATTGGCAACTTCCATCATTATCCAAATGATTCTAGTAAAGATATGTGGAGTTTACACAGTGGGGAACTTCCTGTATTCAAAATGAAACAGAAAACACACACTGAGGAGCATAACTGCTTAACTTTTGGAAGAAAAGTTCAGAAGTACAGAAATTGTCTGCCAGCCCTGGTGCTCAGATCCCCCCCAAGACCAGATACGATGAAGATACGATATGATGATATTTTGTTATTGTTACATCTCTAGCAGAGACGTCTGGGTTTGTTTCATTGGCTGACTGTGATTCCCATGTGCTTTTTATAGGTTCATTTACATTTACACTGGAAGAGACTGGTCCAACTGGTGAGTCCAAGATCACAAAGTCCACACTAGCACCTGTCACAACTCACATCATATTTAAGTCATTTGAAGAATACAGAAAATCTGCTTTACAGAAGAGCAGAGGTGTGTGCTAGATTGACTTGACTTTTAAAGAAATTGTACTTTATAGAGAACTTTTCTAGCAGCACACACTTACTCTTACTTGAGGAACATTTTTATTTAAGTACTAGTACTATTGTACAGTGTAACAGTACTCTTACTTTAGTAATATAGTGTACAGTGTAACAGTACTTGTTACTTGTACTTGTTAATCTGAAATGATTTGAACATTTGTGTTTCTTGCAGCTCCCATTAATCGGTAAGTGGAGTCTTAGTCATAAGTATTTATAGTGCAGCAGATTAATTGCATATTTCAAGAGAATCGTTCACTTTGGTATAAAAGCATGACATTTGGCACAGACATTCTCTAAGGGTCATGTTTTGGGAAAAAGGCGTTGGCCATTCAAAAATTCAAAATGGCAGTCATTTTCATTTTTCAAGATGGTCACTATTTCTGTCAAATGTTCATTATGTCGAGCGTTCAAACTGTGATGTAGGCATAGCATTTTGTGAAAATACTCTGTTGAGAATGTTTTTTTTGGAGAATGGTGCTTGTCCCTCAAAAAATCAAGATGACAAACATTTGATGGTTGAGATGCCATCAGCATTTTTCCTTTTTTTTTTTTTTTCTTCCTCTAAATGCAGTAACAGGTAGGGCATCTGGTATAAAGTCCTCTAGTGCCACATCACTCTGTAGAAATACCATAACTGTTTCAATAGGAAGTTCATTTTGAAAAATGTGTTTAAAATCATTTTAGTTGAGTTACTTACTTTGTTCATCTGTGCTCTGTGGTTTGTTGGTTCTCAAACATCTTCCTTTTTTCTGAAACATCAGCTGTAACATTCATGAACTTCCCCACAGCTGCAGCAGAGCTCTGGATATCACTCTTTGTTTGTAGACGACTCTGGAACAAACACATTCAAATCTGAGTACAACTGTCACACTCTTGTAGATGGACAGTCAAATACAATTTGTCTCATGGAAACAGTCCTTACATTAACTCTAATTTCAAGTAAAACACCACAAACATGTTTTAACAATGAGGACATTCTAGTGCAGAGAAGCACATAACATCTTTGAAAAGTCTCACCTCCAGATCAGTTCTCATAATCCTCCTGCTCCACACTGTGTTTCCTCTGCTCCTGGAACTGTCCTGTGTCCTGTTACATTTGAATTTTCCCTCCAAATGTTTTGGGGAGGAGAATTCCAGAGGGAGGAGCCTCACCACAGATTATAATAAAGTCATGTTTTTCAGTCTGATTAAAACATGCAGGTCTCACATCGGCCACAATCAAGTGACCTTTGTAAGATTTAAACATGCTGGACAGAGAAACGTTAAAAAGTCATGTTATTGTTGTCAAATTTGTTTTTGCAATTGGAGCAACCCCTCTCAGACCATTTTTTCAGTATAAGTTTTTTATTTATTTCATTCTTTTCACAGACATTTGTCACACAGACACTTTACAGAGCATTATTCACTCCAGATGCGGTGGTGATAATAACCTGCTATTCTAGCCACAGCTGCTCTGGGGCAGAATGACAGAAGTGTGGCTGCCATGCCAATCGGCGCCATCGGCCCCTTGACCACCACCATCACTCACACGTACCTTTCATACTAGGCAATGTGGGTGAAGTGTCTTGCCTAAGGACACAACATAAACAGTTTTTTACAGCTGGTGCCCCCCTGTGGCACCTGATTTTCCCAGTGTCTCCCATTCAAGTCCTAACCAGGCCCGGAGCTGCTGAGCTTCTGAGATCTGATGACATCAGGTTTGGACAAGCCAGTGTGGCCACAAATAGAAAAGTCTTGAAAAAATGGCCGCCATATTGAATTTTTGAGTGGCCAATGCCTTTTTCCTAAATAGCGGCCCTTAGAGAGTATCTGTGCCAAATTTCATGCTTTTATACCAAGTGAACGTTTTTTTCACTAATCTCCTGCACTAATATTTGAGAAGTGAGTGAGCTGGAGATTTGGTATTTTTTGGTATTCCTCTGTAAAAAGGCAGATTAAACTCACAAGTTGCATCTGTCTTTATATAAATACATAGTTTTCTAGTTCTTCTTTTGTGCATAAATAGTTTTTGCATGAGCGCCCCCTGCAGATGTAGTCTGGTGAGTGCAGTTTGGGTCAGATACACAGATACAGAAGAGTTTCCAGAGCTTTTGCCACACCCCTTTTAGTCGACCAACTGACTGACAGCACAGGTCTTTATTCCTGCAAGAATTTCTTTACTCGCCTAAAGTTGTAATATTTTCCTGTGTTTTTGAGGACGCATAACCATTTCCTTGTTTCCTAAGGTTGCTGAGGGAGCAGGTGCTCTGCTCTGCGGTGGACTCCAAAACACCAGAACTTTACAACCGCTGCAAAGTAGAAGAGCTTCTGATGAGTCCTGGGTAATGTAGCCTTCTGTAATTGAATGATAATATCAGATACACTTCACAGCGAGCGAGACAGACTAACTGAAAAACTGTGGCCTAATGCTGGCTCTTTTGTGACTGTAATGTTGTTGTTTAACAGCACAAATCAACTCACCTGTTGTAGTTCAGAGAAGTCATATCTTTATGATCAGATTGTGTTCAAATACAAATTACCCATTTCATACCAAACGAAACTCCAGAGTGGAGTGAGACTTAAACCAGACTTTTCTGTTGTGTTCACCTGGCTCCTCCTGGAGGCTGCTGTGATGTTGCAGGTGTCCTCCTGTTAAACTGCACTGACACCTGTGACTGAGACACAAAGGTGACACTGTGGACATGTGTAACAGTGGTGGTACAAACAGGACTAAATGAATAAGCAATTGAAGAGTTCTCAGACATGTGTGAAATAGAGCAGTCAGTCAGTGAGAAGATAACTACTACAACACGGTTAAAAGTTAAAAGCTCTAAAAAGTCAATAGGGCAGAATAGGTCTGATTGAAGGAAAATAATGTTTTGTCTTATGTTTCCATTCTTTTCAGGTTGAAATATGCCCAGCCGAGCACACTGATCGGGTATGTTTGCTCCACGGACACGACAAGGATATATTTTGTATAGTTAATTTTCACATTCTAAAATTAGATAATGTCATCATCATTTCAGATGGAGCAGGCCCTATAGAACTTTATGGGAGATTTACTGTTTCTAAAGAAAGCTCCAAACAAATGTTTCTCCTTCTCGTTCTTTGTTTGGGATCGGCTCCACAAAACTTGTCATATGAATCTTATGTCTTAAAGTCCTTTTAGCTCAAACACTCACGTCTTGACGGTTGAATAATGACTCCACTTTCTGAAGCAATTGTCAAAAAACATTTGTCTTTAGTTTATTTCTCCTGACAGAGAAGATGCTGAACTTTGTGCCAGTTTTTTGTTTCATGTGGATCGGTTTAGAAACTACAGAAATATGAACCATAAACCAGATCAAGACCTCTGTGATCTGACAGTTACAGAGCAAACTCCAACTGAGACTCTGACCAGTCTGAGCTCAGGTTCTGCTACTCTAGGGCTCTAGTACAGATATGTAGTGATTCTCACAGTAATAACCTGTCACTCTGTCGCCCCCTGCAGACGCACTGATGTAAACTCAGTGACAAACTGGAACGCACCGCTGGTCTGGGAGGGGACCTTTGACCCCGTGGTCATGGACAACATCTATAAACGAGAAAATCCGAGGATCGCTGTGCTGGTTTTAGCTGTTGGCAAGTAAGTTCATAATAAAACTAGAGGAATCATCG